CCCTTCACCAGCCTTCCTTGAGTGCTTCTGCCTGTCTGGAATATGTCCTTGAACTCTGAGAAATCCTATTGCTTGTCTGGATGGAGGGCAGTGAGGGATGTGGCGTACTGTACAAATATAAAAGCCATTGCTCTGCCCCGTTTAGTCTCTGTTCCAACTCATCAAAGCCCATTGTTCTGTTGCGACACACGCAGAGCAGTGGCAAAGCCTTCTCTCATGTCTAGGATGTTGTTGTTGTTTTGCTTGGTTTGTGGCAGGGGGGCAGTAGAGCCATGGAGCTTTTTGTAATTGAGGCTGAAAGTGAGGATGGGGGACAAGAGCTTCCATGGGACCCAAACAGGCCTGATTTTTGTTTGCCCCCAACAAAGAAATCCCAAGAATGTTTTTGCACTGCAAAAAAAAAACGTGAGGAATTTCTCTGTGCCCCCCTACTGTTTCAAGGCGGCTTCCTACCGCTTCAAAGGAAGAAAGGAGTCTCTGTTATTGCTCTTCCAACTACAGAATCATCAAACGGCATGAAGGGAAGCAAAAAATACCCACCCATGTTATGCTGACTGCCTTTTCACTAACACAGAAAAGAATGGTTAAATGGGGGGAATCATTCAAACATGTAATCCTTCACACGCATTTTACAGCTCTAGGAAGACTGCACTGTGGACTTTTGCTGAACATGCAGATGGGCTCATGGGGGGGCGCAGGGGGCAGCTGCCCCCTCCAATTCAAGTAAAACAATAGAAATACTTAACTCACTGACGAATCATGTGGGATCTGCCCCCCCCCAAAAAGTCCTGGCTACGCCCAGGGATAGGCTATAAAACACACACAAAACCCATTTCAGGACTAGGTACTGGATAAAAAGCTTGCATCTCCCCAAGCAGTTTCTCACACACTTCAGTAGACAGAGCCCCTGCTCAGAATTGTAGAGTTGGAAGGGGCCACATGGATTCAACCCACATTGCTATGTGGAAAGGTAAAGGGTCCCCTGACCGTTAAGTCCAGTCGCAGACGACTCTGGGGTTGCGGCGCTCATCTCACTCTATAGGCCGAGGGAGCCGGCATTTGTCCACAGACAGCTTCCAGGTCATGTGGCCAGCATGAATAAGCTGCTTTTGGCAAACCAGAGCAGCGCACGGAAACACTGTTTACCTTCCCGCCAGAGCGGTACCTGTTTATCTACTTGCACTTTGATGTGCTTTCGAACTGCTAGGTTGGCAGGAGCTGGGACTGAGCAACGGGAGCTGACCCCATTGCGGGGATTCGAACCACTAACCTTCCGATCGGCAAGCCCTAGGCTCTGTGGTTTAGATCACAGCACCAATTACTGTTGTTGTGAAGATCACTTTGCTTACCTACAGCTTTACACAGAATTGTCACAAACTGCATTTTTTTTGCCATTTGGACACATAAGTTTACAAATTTTCTCTCTCTCTCTATATATATATACACATATATGGAATTATCCTTTTAAGGGCAAGCTTGTTGATGTTTATTGCTATTTTAATTTTATTGTGTTTTCATATGCTGCAATCCACCCTGGAACCTTCAGATGAAAGGAGGGTAATATAATAAAATGTCAACAATAAGACACACAAACACAACACCAGTCAACTGAGGATAACACTTCATGTATCTGGTAATGCAGACTCTCGCTAGTACATGAAAAGTAATGCCCTAATAAATATGTTACAATGAAATCCTATACATGTCTACTCAAAGGGAAAGGGTTATTGAGTACAGTGGAACTTATCCCAAGCAAGCTTATATAGGATTTCAGCTTTAGGAATTAACTTCAGAGTACGGTACTTTTACTTGAAGTTGCCGCACGCCTCTGTTGTTGAAAGGTAGTTTTTGGCCACTAAGGAGAAGGGCAGAACATGTATTATCATCATTCTATTTCCCAAGTAACTTTTTTTTTTGTATATGTTTATGCAACCGTGAGTCATTTAATTGTCAAAATAAGAAAGTAAATTGGTCCTTCTAGGCAAGTGGTGTGTGTGTGTGTGTGTGTGTGTGTGTGCGCTGTGCGAGTCTCAGAACCTGTCCTACTACTGCATCTTGAGTATGTTCCAAATTAAAGGCAAGGAAACCAGACCAGCTCACTGCTTAGCAGCACACACAAGTTCTGTCACGAAAGGAAGACACCAGACTAGAAATGAAATACAGGCTGCTCCAAGGCCCACATTTTCAGAACCCCTTTTGACTTCAATGAGCAAGCGATGGAGGAATCAGCTTGAAGACTCAGGTCTTACACTTCCTGTTATAAGCATGTGTTGGGACCACAAGGCTGGTCCATCATCATATTTCGTGATGTGCTCTCATATATTATTATTATTATTATTATTATTATTATTATTATTATTATTTATACCAAAGATCCCATGGCAGTTCACAGCATAAAAATACAGAAAACCATAAAGTACATAATAAGAACAAGAACAAAACCAACCTATAACTCCCCCCCAAAAAAAAAAACATTTTAAAGGCCATAGACTGTTTATCGGCCAAAGGCCTGGTTGAAGAGGAACATTTTTGCTGTATAATAAAGGTGCCAGATGAACCTCCCATAGGAGAGCATTCCACAAATGAGGAGGTGGTCCTTGAGCAGTTCAAGGCTTTATCAGTCAAAACCAACACTGGGAATTGGGCCTGGAAACTAACTGACAGCCAGTGCAGTCGGGCCAGGATCGGTGTAATATTCACACACCATCTTGCTTTGGTGAGCAACCTGGCTGCTGAATTCTGCACCAGGTGAAGTTTCCGAACTGTCTTCAGAGGCAGCCCCACATCTAACACATTGCAGTAATCTAACCTAGAGGTTATCAGAGCATAGACAACTGAGGTTAGGCTATCCAGACAGGGGCACAGCTGGGCCACCAGCCAAAGTTGATGGAAGGCACTCCACGCCATTGAGGCCGCCTGAGCCTCAAGCGACAGCAAAGGATCCAGGAGGACCCCCAAGCTATGTACCCACTCCTTCAGAGAGAGTGTAACCCCATCAATAGCAGGCAACCTCCCATCCATACAGTCAAGGGAACCGCCCACTAACAGTGCCTCAGTTGGCTCTCATCCAGTCCATTACCGAGGCAAGGCAATGTTCCAACACATCCACTGCCACAGCTGCAGATGTAAAAGAGAGGTAGATCTGTGTGTCATCAGCAGATTGCTGACCATGTGCTCCAAAACTCCAGATAACCCCACTCAGAGGTCTCATGTTGATAGGGGATAAATTGAGCAGAGCTTTTTTTGGCCCAGAACTCACCAGAATTCAGTTCTGGCATCTCTCAGTTGAGTGTCATTGCCAAGGGAAGTGTTCATAGTGAGTTCCGGCTCCTCTTTTTCTAGCAAAACAGCACTGGCCCTGAGGAACCACACAGTGAGGGTTCCACAGGGCCAAAGAACGTCCCCCAAGCATCACCCTCTGGAAACGGCCATCCAAGTGGGACCAGAACCACTGCAAAGTGGTGCCACCCACTCAAACTCGGACAGCCACTCCAGAAGGAAACCATGGGCAATGGTATTGAAAGCTAGTAAGAGGTCAAGGAGAATTAACAAGGACACATTTCTCCTGTCTTTCTCCTAACATCATACAGGGCGACCAAAGCAGTTTCAGTGCCAAAACCGGGCCTAAGCCCCAACTGAAATGAATCTAGAAAATCATTTTCCTCCAAGAGTGCCTGGATCTCATCTGTGACCACCCACTCAAGAACCTTGCCCAAGAAGGGGGGATTAGCAACTGATGGGTAGTTACTTAGATTTTCTGAGAGCAGGGAGGGTTTCTTAAGGAGTGGTTTTTACCACTGCCTCTTTCCAGCAGGCAGGGACCACCCTAGCTATTGATGCCCTCCAGTCTAAGCACTACACACTGGTACAGCAAGTAAGATCTAGGTAGTTGTTTTTCACACAATCTGTTACCTACAGACACATAAGGAGATGACTCACTGGACCTGGTGACTTTTCACCCTTTGGGGGGGGGACTTGCCCACACCCTGCAAAATATTGCAATTCATTAAAGAGCTACTACTGTACAAGTTTTCCTGCAACTAGTTTGCATTGCCTGTCCTCCATCCTTCAGATAAATAACACTTTTTATCATCTAGCTGCCAATCTACAAAGGAGAAAAATGTTTGGAAAATGTTGACACATTAGGTCAAGAAGTTTAATGCAAAAACCTCATGGTTAACTAAATTTCTAAGAGAAGAAGAAGAAAACTGATCAAAGCCCAGCATCTAACTCCTGATTTATTCGTTTCACTCAAAAGAGAGGCAGGTTGAAGGCCATTATCTCTTAGCTCGGCTTATTCACAGAAGCTTAAACAACTCTCATCTGGACGAGTTCCTTTTGGAGCACATGCTTCCTTGAGGGACTAGCACTGCCCAGACGGAAATCACATGTTCATGTTTGAACCTGCCCAACATGTTTGCACGCTGAAAAAAACAATTCCTCCCTTGTTTCCAAAACCCAGTAATTCAGATCCCTGGCTCATCCGCACCTAGCACTGTACACCCGGTATTCTCCTGTGCAAAAAAAAAGGCAACACTGTGCAAACTTTCAAGGACGCCCCCCTCCTCCCCACACATGGTTCGGGTGCCCACCTCCAGCACCCCGCCCACCGGATCAGCAGAGAGATCGCCTGCATTTCGGCAGCTCCTCCTTCCAAAATGGCCCCGATCCTGGGAAGGGATTACTCGGGAGCAAGTCCTACTGGGCTGCAGTGGGCCTTTTTACTCCCAAGTTCAGTGTGGCCCAGGATTGCAAGCCTGAAACTCTGGCAACCAATTCGGGGCGGGGGGGTGAAGCCTTGCCCTCTCTGCACGCACCTTTCTGTGGATTCCGATCTCCCCATAAATGGGTGGGTTGTAGTGGGTGGGGAGGCGGAAGTGTGTGTGTGTGTGTGTGTGTGTGTGTGTGTGTTTAGTGGGTGCGAGGGAGGATTGTGCGGCTCTCTCCCCCGCCCCGTGCGCCCCTCCCGCCCCCAGCCAGGCCGAGCAAGTAATACTCACCATATTACAAATGGAGGCGATGTTTCTGACAGTCATGAGTCTAAAGGTTGCAGTGATCCCGCACCGCCATCTTTATGAGGTGAAAACCGGAATGGTCATGGCTGGGGAGGATCGGGAAGAGGCCGGGAGGAGCAGGGAGAGGCGGCGGCGGAGGGGGGGGAGTGGAGAGAAACGGAAGCTCTGCCGAGGCGGGGGGGGGAGGGGGATGGAGGGAGGGAGAGAGAGATCGGCTGCTCCGCCTCGGGGCTCTGCAGGATCGGAGGCAGAGGGCACCCACCCACCCCCTTTCCCTGCTCTGCCGGCTAATTCCGCCGCTCCCAGACCCTTCCAGGAACCGCTGGGGGTGGCCGGGGTCTCCCTCTCAGCAGCAGCAGCAGCGCGGCATTTCTGGGGGCGATCGGCTTCTCTCGTGGGCGCGCAGCCGCCGCCAGGCGAGCGCGGATCAGCGGCGCTGGTTTCCAGCAGCTGGGACAGGCGCGATCTCAATCCCCCCGCTTTCCTTCCTCCTCCTCCTCTTCCTCCTCCTCCGCCTCCTTCCCCCGCAGCGGGTGCTGTTGCGCCTCTTCCCTTCTCTCCATTGCAACGCAGCGCCCGGCGGTCAACTTTGACAGCGGCCGGGGAAGGGGAGGTCAGGGCCGGGTGAGTGGCGTCGCCACCAGCCAACCGCCCCGGGAAGGGGGCGCGCCGAGCAGCCAATGCCAGAGAGGCGGGAGGCGGGTTCCGCCAGCTACGGGTCAAAGGGGCACCAAGGGGTTGGGTGTTTCTCCCATCCCCACGTTCAAAGAGTCAGGGATCTCGCCTCTTTTTTTCTCTTTTTTCCACCTTTTAGGACGCCAGGGCAAGATGCCGGCTTCAGATCCTGCAGGAGCAGCACTCAGAAGGGCGACACTTGAGCACACGCGTGCATCAAGTGATAGGGAACACTTGATGCACGCGCGCGTGGGGAAACGTCGCCGTTTCGAGGGCTGGGAGAGATTTCCTCTCCGCTGGAAGCTGCGCATCCCTCGCGCCGCCTCGGATGCAATTGCTTTCCCAGGCGAATCAGGTTCTCACATCCTTGGCGCAGCCAGTCAACTGTGCAGTGATCAAGTGCAGAGAGGGACCCAGTGAGGCATGTGTGCATGTCTTGTAAAGCAGACGTTTGCTTTTGGAAAAAGAAACATCATCTCCCTAGCTGACAAGGACAAGGGGGAAATGTTACTGATCCTGCTCTTCCACCACCAGTATCAAGAGACATATATAACCAAGGCCACGCAGGAGGAGAGGTGCCCAGTGCGTTTTTAAAAATGCAAGAGATCTGTGGCCTGCTGGTTCTTGGGCAGCATTCTGTTCCCAGAACCCACAAGCAAGACATGAGTGAAATAGCACCCTCCTTCTTAAAGAATGGTATATAAAATGTCATGTTTGCAGCCTGAGAGTTGAATCTTTCCCAGGGCTCTTGGGGGGGGGGGCGTTACTCAAGGGTTCACAGGACCAGCACCTTTCCTCCCTCCAAATGTTAAAAAGTACAGTGGTACCTCTGATTACGTACTTAATTTGTTCCAGAGGTCCGTTCTTAACCTGAAAGCGCCGCTGCTGTGCAATTTCTGTTCTCATCCTGAAGCAAAGTTCTTAACCCGAGGTAATATTTCAGTGGTTACATTCGCTTCAGGTTACAGACTCCACTAACCCAGAAATAGTACCTTGGGTTAAGAACTTTGCTTCAGGATGAGAACAGAAATCGTGCTCCGGTGGCAGCTGGAGGCCCCATTAGCTAAAGTGGTGCTTCAGGTTAAGAACAGTTTCAGGTTAAGTACAGACCTCCGGAACGAATTAAGTACGTAACCAGAGGTACCACTGTATGACACTTACCCAAACTCAGCCCTCCAGAAGTTTTTGGACTACAACTCCCATCATCCCTATCTAACAGGACCAGTGATCAGGAATGATGGGAATTGTCCCAAAACATCTGGATGGCCGAGTTTGGGGGTGCCTGCTGTGAGAGCTTCAAGGTGAGTACTGGCACCTTTAAAAAAAAAAAAGCACTGATCTTACTGGCTTTTAACACTGGAAACTGGTCGATATCCCCCATGCTTAAGACACACAGGGCACACTGCGTGATGCGCAAAGGTCTGTCTGCAGCATCTCACCTCCCCTTTCTTGCCCCTGGCCTCTGCCATCCGAGGCAACTGCCTTGCTCTGGTGGGGCAAACCCAGCAGCAGGAGACATCATATCACCCCAACACAAACATTTATCACTGGAGACAGTTCATTCATGCATTCTCTTGCAACTCCCCAAGTGTTATGGGATGAAGGAATGGACACATGATTTATTGGGGGGGCAGAACCAACTTATCAGTAATGCAATTGGTCAGTCCAGTTTTTTTTATTTACTTGATGAGAGGGCAGCTGCACCCCTGCACCCCCTGGCTATACTCGTGGATGGACAGGAGTTTGCAAAGTGGGCCCAGTGCAGCCGATTCTGCAAAGTGCCTTTGTCTTCAGAGCGTTGTGCTTGAAGCGATGCCCTGTGATGTGTTCTGGCTGATTCATCCCTTCCCATTCATTGCTTGCTGTTGCAGTTCTTGAATGATGAAGTGTGATGTGTGATCTTAGGCAAGTTTACTCAGAGGTCAGCTCCACTGAGCTCAGTTCATAGAATTGTAGAGCTTAAGAGTCTCATGATCTACCGACTGAGCTATCCCAGCTCATTAAATGTACACAGAACCGCAATTGTGCAGTGCAATTCCACATATGATTATTTGGAAGCAAGTTCCACCAAATTTATTGGAACACTCTCCAAAGGGAATGGGAATGGGGCTGCAGCTCAGCTAGGTGATCTGCACTGCTGCTAAATGGGCAGCTGCTACACCAAGGCTTTTCCTTTCAGCCCGCTTTCAAGTTATGACTGTTTACTGGATTAGTCTCAGCCAGTATGGTCAATTACTAAGCAGTATGGTAGCACTGTGGGTTAAACCACAGAGCCTAGGACTTGCTGATCAGAAGGTCAGCGGTTTGAATCCTCGTGACATGGTGAGCTCCCGTTGCTCGGTCCCTGCTCCTGCCAACCTAGCAGTTCGAAAGCACGTCAAAGTGCATGTAGATAAATAGGGACTACTCCAGTGGGAAGGTAAATGGCATTTCCGTGCGCTGCTCTGGTTTGCCAGAAGCGGCTTAGTCATGCTGGCCACATGACCCAGAAGCTGTACACCGGCTCCCTCGGCCAATAAAGCAAGATGAGCGCCACAACCCCAGAGTCGGCCACGACTGGACCTAATGGTCAGGGGTCCCTTTACCTTTACCTTATGGGAGTTGCAGTGCACCAACAATCTAGTTCCCAATCCCTTTTTTAAAATACTGTATTCCACTGTAAGCAGCATCTAGCGCCTTCCATTGTGTGCTCCACCCCAGTTGTATGACCAATTTTGCTTGTAGAGCAGGCTTCCTCAACCTCAGCCCTCCAGATGTTTTTGGCCTACAACTCCCACGATCCCTAGCTAGCAGGAACAGTGGTCAGGAATGCTGGGAATTGTAGTCTCAAAACATCTGGAGGGCCGAGGTTGAGGAAGCCTGTTGTAGAGCATCACCCTGGTGTGAGTTTCTGACTATGTTCTGCTTCTCTCTCACCAAACTCCTTACTCCACCCATTTTGCTCTCCTAGCCAGCATAAGGATCCACCACTCAGTGCGAACTAGCATCAGTGATCTGCTGTAAATCCAGCATATTTTGTTTGTGTTCCAGCTTAGAGCAGTTTTACTAGTGATCCATTCCTGCCCAACAGGCATAACTGGAGGCTAGTTTAAAATATTAGTTCACGTTAATAAAATTAGAATTGATTTTATTTCATCATGCAGTGGTATATACTTGCCCTTCAACAAAATAACATTTTTTAAAAAGATTCAGAAACTAGTAGAAGAGCATTTCTGTCTCTCAGAACACTCTGTTGCTGACCTTAAAGGGGTGATTCTCAAACAAAGGAAATTCAAAAGGAAATACCAGCATGAAACCACTAAATCACAACTTATCAAGATAAAAATCCAACCCGATCACTTGGGGGGTTAATAAAGACAACAGGTTTGTTTTATTCCAATACAGTGGTACCTCGGGTTACATAAGCTTCAGGTTACAGACTCCGCTAACCCAGAAATAGTACCTCGGATTGAGAACTTTGCTTCAGGATGAGAACAGAAATCATGCTCCGGTGTTGCAGCGGCAGCAGGAGGTCCCATTAGCTAAAGTGGTGCTTCAGGTTAAGAGCAGTTTCAGGTTAAGAACGGACCTCCAGAACGAATTAAGTACTTAACCCGAGGTACCACTGTATAGGTGTTCATCAGCTTATCAATGCCAGGATGTTTGCATTATTACAAATACATCGCCTCACAATCTTGTTTGCTGAATGTCTTTGTTTGCGTGTCTTCTTTCAATTTTTCTTGAGGAACTAACTGTAAACTCTGGTTTAACTACCACTGATGCTGAAGTTGTTTTGTTTTTTTTAAAAGCGGAGGCTTGGGGGGGGGGCCTCAACTCACACCACAGTAGGTTTGTTGGTCTTTTAAGATGCTGTGAGATTGTGTCAAATACAGCTGCCCCTCTGAAAACTAGTAGCAAATAAGTGCAATGTTGGCAGGGTGCATATCACAAAGACGTATTTTCTTTTTTAATGGTTGACAAAGAAATGTTGGGAAAGCAGGAAATTTTATTCTTCAAAATAATATCAGGAGGATAAGAACACTGAGCAATTGTTCTCATTGTATCCCTTCATAACAAACAAAACAGCCTTGTGTTTCCTTTCTCTGGTAAGACAAAACGAACTATTTATAACACAACTGTGCTTATATAATTTTTATTGAAAGGTCAAAAGAACATTCACCCTTGCATTTCCTTTTCACAGCCTGCTGCTCATTTGCCTCCAAATACTCCCAACCAAAATGTTATCAGAAAATATCCATTTTGCTGTGGGTGTTGTAGTAAGAGCCTCAAGGCCATACAACTACCTGGACTAGCTAACATTGCTTCGCCTTATCTACATTTCAAGATCATGCGTAGAATTGGAGCTCAAAATTCATGGGCCACGGACTTCCTCACCCCTCCAAAAGCACACAGAATTAATCCAAGAGTGAAGAGCCTGAGCAACAGACAGTATGAGCACGCTGACTCCATCAGCTCACCCTGTTCCCTGGCAGGTCTACTAGCCTGGCTAATGTTGGGCTCTAACAGAACTTGTGGGAAGAGTGATGGGGTGTGTGCCTTGCTGCCAATTGTTAAGACATCCATGGAATCATAGAACTGTAGAGCTGGAAGGGACCACGAGGGTCATCTAGGCCAGCCCCCTGCATTGCAGGAATCTTTTGCCCAGTGTAGTGCTCAGACCATGACTCTTGAGATTAAGCTTCTCATGCAGGTCATCTGAAACAAGAACAACCAGAAGCTGATAGTAGGGCATAACAAGTTTATCACTGCCTTTGCTTGTTGTTTCATGCTGCTGCTATTTGTGGGGGATGGGTGGTGGTTCTCAGTGAGACTGTGGAGTCCCAAGGGAGGAGGTGTAGCATTTATTCCAAGCTCTCGGTGAGAGCTTGAGTCTGGGGGACAGCAGCCTGAGTGGAAACAGGCCTGCTGGCCATGAATGCACATGTACTTGATGTCAGGAGCTCAGCCCTACACTCGAGTAGGGCCCTGGCAGAGACACATGCCCAACTGGCATGTTCTCTCCCTCCTGGCCGTTTGTTTGGGAGCTTCAAAAGCTTTCTTCAGCCCAAACATCACAACGACTGATGCCAACCGGCACAGACACACTTAGGGATCCACAGAGTTTGCGCATCGTGCGTAACAGACCTCAGCAACTCAGCATTTTGGCTAAGCTACTTTATTTACATATAAACACACACAGAGCACTGCAACATGGCTCCCTCTCTCTATAGCATCAGACAGCAAAGAGAAAAAACAAAGGACAATAGTCCCACTTCACAGAACACAGTAACACAAACATCCTGTCTCCGTCACTTCCCACTCTGTGGAGTCAAAACATACACCGTCATGTGATAGACAACAATCCCATGACTGCAATCATGGAGCAGGAATTCTAACACTTGACTGGGGTCAGAAAACTGGGTGTTTGTTACAGTCTGGTTCTGTAGCAGCGGCTTCTATTGAATCAGGATACTCTTGTATACTGACTAAGTAAAGTGCATGATTATTAAGCTGGCGTGGTGGCAGCGGCACCAGGCTTCTGTCTTATTATTGTTATATATAATAAATTATTTATAATTGTTTTTATATTATGCATTTGCTAATGATATTACATCACTTGTGCTCTAATGATGATATTCTATTATGTCCCTGCTTTTGTTGCTTATTGTGTGTAAGCCGCTTTGACATTCATCTGAATGGAAAGTGACAAAGAAGGACAATCAGCCAAGAAAAGCAACTTAATTGGGAGTCTTTTTTGTTGTGGTGGCTTGTGTGAAACCATTGGGAATCAAAAAGCCTTGTTGATTTACTGACAGCAATATGTAGGAGTTTCCATTACTTTCTGCCCACACCTAGAAAATAGTTTTGCTTGTCACATGAATGAAATATGGGCTGATGGACAACGACACTGGCAAACCTTAACTCTTTCACACTCTTTCTTTTCTTTTAGAAATTAAGCATTGCCCTCATGAATTTGGACGGCATCATGAGTACATGTCCTTTTCCTTTTTTTTAAGCTCGTCACTTTGATGATACTGCATTCCTGTCCATGCCCACTCAAGTTCACCTCTGACCATTCATAAAGGTCCACAGTGGTCCTCTTAGTCATAAACAAAGAGGGTAGAAACCAGTGTTTTTTTCTATAGTGAGAAGGGAATGGCAGAAGGATTTGTTTTCTGTCTAAGAATTAGACAGCAGGCAGCCTCACACTGACCTACCAAATTCATCAACCAGAACAAGACATCACCAAATGCATAAAGCAGGTTAACACTTTGTGCTAATAGCAAGTTAGGGGCTTTTATTCCTCCCTACCTTTGTTTACAGCAGCTTTTTGTGGTTGGTCCGATTCTCCATAAATACCACTGGAATATGATTATTTTATAGTATAGCCATTCCTTCCCCTACCTTGCAACTTAATTACATTTCAAAAAGTTGTATTCCCTGTGCAAATTAGTGCCTTTGTAGAGAGAGTCCCAATGAGACTAACCTTCTTTGTGTACATAATATTTGTCTTTATTGCAGCTGCTGGTTGGTTCAAAAAAATTTCCTGCCTTCTGTGGTGTAAAAGCTTGAATAAGGTTGCAGCTGTGACCTAATAATAATTTGGTAACCTGCTCAGTGAAGAAGTCATAAATTATACTAGCATTGGTGTCATTTAAAATAGGGGAAATTCAGCAGAAAATATTAATCCTTCTCAGGAACACATGATTTCCCCACCTTTCCTGATCATTGATAAAACATAAATTAACCATAGAAGAGACATATTGCTGTCCTGTTTTTGTTTTTTCAAGTAAACTAGAAAAAGGGGCATGGACAAATCCAGGGCAATTAAACCGATAGCAAATTTAATTGATAGCAAATTAAAATCTCACATGTTCAGAAGCGATATTCCACTCAATATCATTTTTAGTTGCATGTTCCTCTTTCATGGGGGTTGGGGAACAAAATATTTTTTGTCCTAGAGGGATTTGAACTAGTGATTCTAAGGACATGGTTTTACATTTGTGTTGGCCTTAGGAGATAGTACAACAGAGGTCTCTTGAATATTCCTGTGACACTTTGCCTGGTTGTCTGTGCTTTCCCACCCCACTGTGCTGGGAGCCAGGAACAGGTCCCAGGACCATCTGCACCATTCCTGATTGGTAGGTTTTAGTAATATTTCCAGGGACTGTGACAGGGGGCCAGTCTGCCCTATTCACAGTGTTCGGGCATGTTTCTAGCCATGTCATTCCGTCCTTGGGATTAGTATTGGATACAATGGCAGTTCCTTTGGCACAGTGATGTATCTACCCCCGGGTACAGGATTGCTCTCTGCACTCCTCAAATTTCCCACCATTTGGGGAAGAGGAGGAGTGTAACAACATTTTGAAAGTGGCCTTTAAGAAACAAAAATAGCACATTATCACTGAAGGGCTGACAAGGAGTGCAAAACAGTTCTTCTGCCTTTATAAAATACATACTGCTTCTATGTGCTCTTTTCCCATCCAGTATTTGTGTATGGCAATCTAGAAATGTTAATTGCAGGGCATATGCATTGTGGAAGTCAAATAGTGGGGTGCACTGACAGTATGTGGGCTGAAGACATACTATGAGCTATTTTCAGCATCGTATAATAAGACCAACATGTATAGGGTAAGCATAAATCCATGCAATAGCAGCAGCCAGGGACTCCAAATTGAAATTGCAGCTCGACTAGCTTTTATTTATGGCTTGTATTCTTCATAAAAGTTCATGGGGTAATTTTGAACGAAGGATAGAAGTGTGTTCATGTTTAGTATTGCAATGCTCTCTGGGCCTTGCTGGTCCCGCTGCACAAAAATCTAGAATTATTTTTGAAGTTGCTTTTTTTTAAAAAAAGAAGAAGAAGAAGAAGAACTGGCATGTTTGCTGCTTTGCTGGTGGAGACAGAGCCTGGCCCAGTTGCAAGATGGCACTTGTGCTTCCAGAACCTTCGCTTCATATTCATGGAAGTGATTCACGGCAAGTGCAAACATCTCGCTGTTGGTGTCCTGCTTACAATTAGACAGCAGGGCTTTGCATCTGGCACTTGTTCTCCTTTAGATTCCCACCCCTCTCAAATAGGATGGTTGTGCCCTGGCAAAGTCTGTGGCCCACATTACCGATCCAGACTCAACTACAAATGTCAGTGGCAAGACCAATAATTCACATTTTTATAAAAAATAATAATTAATTTTCTATAAATAGCGTGGTGCTGATAATGCCAAGGTCACAGGTTTGATTCCCATATGGGACAGCTGCACATTCCTGCATTGGAACAGATGATCCTCAGGGTCCCTTCCAACTCTATGATTCTGTGATTTAGAAAGGGAGGGCTGGATTAAGAAGGAAATACTGTACAGAATATATGGGACACAGGTGGCACTGTGGGTTAAACCACAGAGCCTAGAACTTGCCGATCAGAAGGTCAGCGGTTCAAATCCCCGCAATGGGGTGAGCTCCCGTTGCTCGGTCCCTGCTCCTGCCAACCTAGCAGTTTGAAAGCACCTCAAAGTGCAAGTAGATAAATAGGTACCGCTCTGGTGGGAAGGTAAACGGTGTTTCCGTGCGCTGCTCTGGTTTGCCAGAAGCGGCTTAGTCATGCTGGCCACATGACCCGGAAGCTGTACGCTGGCTCCCTCGGCCAGTAAAGCGAGATGAGCGCCGCAACCCCAGAGTCGGCCACGACTGGACCTAATGGTCAGAGGTCCCTTTACCTTTACCAGCAAGGCTGCTTGATCCAGCCTTTGCTGAAACCAGAAACACAATAGAGAGAAATAGGCGGAAGCCCAACTCTCCCGCAGCTCTTAACTGCAACTAGAAACGGCGGAGCTTGTAACAAAGTAACACCTTGTACTGTTACGTTGCAGTTACAGATAGGTAGCCGTGTTGGTCTGCCATAGTCAAAACAAAAAAAATTCCTTCCAGTAGCACCTTAAAGACCAACTAAGTTAGTTCTTGGTATGAGCTTTCGTGTGCATGCACACTTCTTCAGATACACGCTTGCAGTTCCACTTATTTCGTGGGCCAAACCTGCGCATCAAATAGCACAATGCAAAGCGATGGCGCACTGCCACCCCCACCTCCCCATGCCACGAGGGGGGAACCAGTCGCGGGCTACACGGCAGGGCGACTGTAAGCCACCGTCTCTTAATATTTATCCTCCTGCAATGCGCAGATAATGGACAACATCTCCCTTCCCTCTGAAAGAGGCGCCTGCTGTAAGAGCGCAACATGCATTGCAGCGTGTAGGCAAAAGCGCCCCCCTTACCATCCCTCTCCCTTTTCCATTTCCACAGAGGTTGGATGGCCACCTGTCCTGTTTGACCGAGTTCCCTGCATTCAAAGGGGGTTGGACTGGATGACCCTCAGGGACCCCTTCCAACCTCTCCCATTCTAGCATTCTATGCCTAGAGCTGAGCCCACCTCCCTCGCCAAGCCCGCCTTCTCTTTCAGATAAGTCACGTGCCTTCTCCTCCCCACCAATCAGCGACGTGGCCGGAAAAGGCGCTTGCTAGGAGTGGACGAATTCTCTCTCTTCCCACCCCACCCCCCAACATCTCGCGCCGTCCTCATCCATTGCGCGCGCCCTGGGCCCTAAGTCTCGCGCGATCGGCTTTGCCCGCTCGCTATATAAACCCGCTGAAGGCGCATTTGCCCCCTTTGCGCCCTTTCCACTTCTGGGCTGCTTGGTCGGGGTGGCTTGAGGCTGCTGGGCCTACCGAGGTTGGAGGTAAGCATGGCCGCGTGCGAGGTGGAGCTGGCCTTGGAATTGGTCTTTCCCCCGCGGAGCCCCTTAAACATTGCGCACCTCAAGCGTCCCGTGCTGGAGGTGGTCAACACAGGGGGGCAGAGGATTCCTCTCACTGAAACCCGGGGCAGGGCTGCCGCTCTCTGCTTCCGGATCCTGTCGTGAGAGACACGTGCTGGAGCTCCCGCTTGGCCCAGGAAGGGCCATTTCGGTGTGTATCTGACTGTAGCGCTGGGTACCCAGCGCTTGGAGGGGTGGGCGAGTGGCAGGCTTCGCGTGAGCAGTTCATCTACTCCAAAATAGATGCCCTGCACCCCCTGAAGTTTCCCAGCTTCATTCAGGAAAGAGCATTTAATCATAAAAAGCATGTCGTTGAACCCATGCATTCAGTCACCGGCCTAAATTGTAAAATTGTAGAGTTGGAAGGGATCCCCAAAGCTCATCTAGTCCAGCCCCCTGCAATGCAGGAGTTCATAGCCTGTGAATACAGGCGAAAGAGGATAAAACATATTAAAGGGCTAACTAGTATCCACGTTTGTATGGCTTGCCCTTCACTGCTCAGCAAGAGTTAATTTTGCAGTGCAAATAAGTTAAGAGTTGGATATGAAAGCCTGGCATGTCCCCTTGTATTTTATGCTTGGGCTGCATATGTACTGTACTTTAAAAGCACACTCAAGGGGTTTTGAGCGTTGTGGTTTACCCCTTAAAGAGTTGTAATTACCAGCAGCCCTTAAAAAGCTGCAGTACCCAAAATTATTTGAGGGACGAAATGTGCTATAAATGCACAGTGCGCACACAGCCTTGTACCCTGCTTTTCCCCCAAAAAACGTTGAGTGGCCTTTATATATGGCCAGGCCTGCTTACAGCTGCTGGAACTACATCAGGTACCTTCAGACAATTTCTCTAGGCATTGAAAAAGAAACACATTTAATTAATTAATTTTTTGCAAATTTTGTTGCCATAAAATTATTTTGAGTTTTCTCCCTCACAAAGAATCATGTCTTCTGTCTCTTATGTTTTGTTAATCCTACAAACATCCATCGCACTGGACCAATAGAAATAATAAATATTATTCATTCATTCATTCCCAACCCTTCGCCCTAAGGTTCCAGGGCAGGTTACAGCATTAAAACAGTTTCCAATCATAAAAAATAGGATGGGTCCTAAAAATATGTTGTATGAGGATATTGGGGAACAAGGAACCATCTGTGGCATCTTCCCACAATGTTCACTCTGCAGTATGAGTCTCTAGAGTACAACTTGAGGGTCAGGATAGTGCTCTGGAACTGCAAAAACTGGTAGAAAATGCTGCTTGAATGCTACAGGAATTCAAATTTAAAACACACACCTGCCCAGAACCTTTTGGTTGCTAGCATCGGGAAGAAAGCAATAAATCTTGATTGAATTAGTAGTATTCCCATGGTGCATTCTCCCTGATTTGGTCTACAAACAGTGGCATGATGAAAAACCAGTGTTGCAATTCTTCAGATTAGTGGGCTTTTGATACATGTTATGACAAAATTTGGTACAGTTGCCTTGACTTACAAGGTTGAAACATTTGCTGCTAGCTTTGTGTTCTTCAAAAGCCATAGTAACAAAAGTAGCCAGTTAACTAATTCTTCTGTTGCAGGTATGTTCCAGTAAAAGCAAAACCCCTGTCATCTTACCCGCAAGGCCTTCCACAAAGTGTTCTGTCACTGAACAAGCTGGAAGCAATATTCCTTTAGGTAGAAGGTAAGAATTAATGACAATCCTTTCTCTAGAACATCATTTGAATCTGTCTCTTGGCCTCAGAGCTTGCAGTGAGCCCCTTAAACTAACTTTTAATCCTATTTTGCATCCATCCCAAGCGCCTTACTTAAAACTCAGCGGCCTTGCCCCAGTTTACGTTTTGCCCTCTTTTCCCATTACAACACTGCCTGTGATTTTTTCCCCTCCAGTGCTGTCTTACAAAGCTCTCTTCTAAACAATTTTACCCATGTTTCCTTGATGTCTGTGACTTACCCAAGGACACCTGCATGATACTATTTTTCTTCAAATCCTTCCTCAGTGCCACCCATTTCCCCAAGAAGTCATTGGCCCCTAACCCCTTGCTGCATATTGCATATGCATGTACGCATCTCTCACCTCTCAAAATACTGCAGCAACCAGTTGTTTGCACAGTTCTTTTTATTAAGTGTCGTGCAATTTGATGGTGCTAGATAATCATTGCTTGAGACTACTTGCTTATAGCCAGTAACTTGTACCAGTGTTGCACAAAATACTAAGAAAGATAAGGGGCAGCTTTGTTCCTGTGTAGGAGATGGGCTGATTAATAAAAAACGTCAGAACGTGGGCTGATTAATAAAAAAACAAGCAATGCTAGATTTGTAAGGTAAAGGTAAAGGGACCCTTGACCATTAGGTCCTGTTGTGACTGACTTTGGGGTTGTGGCGCTCATCTCACTTTATTGGCCGAGGGAGCCGGCATCCAGCTTCCGGGTCATGTGGCCAGCATGACTAAACCGCTTCTGGCAAACCAGAGCAGTGCACGGAAACGCCGTTTACCTTCCCGCTGGAGTGGTACCTATTTATCTACTTGCACTTTGACGTGCTTTCGAACTGCTAGGTTGGCAGGAGCAAGGACCGAGCAACGGGCGCTCACCCCATCGGGGGATTCAAACTGCCAACCTTCTGATTGGCAAGCCCTAGGCTCTGTGGTTTAACCCACAGCGCCACATAGTAGACACCATATCAATACGAGTTGAGCAATGGGAGCTCACCCTGTTGCGGGGATTCGAACCGCCAACCTTTTGATCAGCAAGTCCTAGGCTCTGTGGTTTAACCCACAGCGCCACGTTCCTCCAGATTTGTGAGTAGGAAGGATTTAAAGGAAAAGGGCCTAATACAGCAACTGATGAATCTGAAAAGCATTGTGCTTATGTGGTTCAGTCTGTTTCTTCTTTGGCGTGAATGTTTGCAGATCAGTGGCTTTAGTAGTTGCCAAGTGATAAACATCAATGTGTGAGCTAAGTATTTGGAGTCAAAGTCTTTGGAGTTGCAGGCACTAGATTTCCCCCTTTTTAGCTTTGCCCTCTTAAGGCTGGTGGTGCTTTAAGTGGCCAACACAAAGGGGTAGAGTAATTCTCTCTTAAACCCAGAGGCGAGAACGCAACTTTCCTCTGGATCCTGTCGGGAGGAACAAACATAAGAAAATACTTGTTAAATGTCTACTGTGATACAATGATATATCTTGCTCTAGAATTGCTGTGACTGATGTCAGTGGCATTTTAAACATCGGCCCATGGATTTTGTACTTTCTTGATAGTTAGGTACATGTAAAACTTTTTAGGAGGTAAAAGTTAAGATGGATATATTCTTTTAGCAGATGCCTGGGCCGTTATCCAGAGCTTTGAGCATCCCTGACAACTAGGAAGACCCAAGCATCTAGGTGAGTACTATGAACAGCTGCAGATGAATGGATTATAGATGGTTCTGTAGAAACTGCAGGTGTGGCAAGGGAAGATTCATTCATCTGGCTGGCATTTCATTACCAAGTAAAGAAGAGGCACAATGCAGTAGCCTGTAGGAAAAATGATTTCTGTTTGTGCAGTGGAACTTTCCCCTCCCCGTGCATGCCCCACACCTAGAGAAATTTTGAAACCATGTGAGAAAACAAAAAATATTGGTGTGTTTTGTTTTGTTTTTTGAAAAAATACATAGTCCTTCTGCCCACTCCATCACCCTTTACAAATCAAAAGTTACTTTGCTACTTGAGAAACAAAGTTTTATTTTACAGTGGTACCTCTGGTTACGAACTTAATTTGTTCCAGAGGTCCGTTCTTAACCTGAAACTGTTCTTAACCTGAGGTACCACTTTAGCTAATGAGGCCTCCTGCTGCTGCTGCGCCGCCAGAAAATGATTTCTGTTCCCATCCTGGGACAAAGTTCTTAACCCAAGGTACTATTTCTGGGTTAGCGGAGTCTGTAACCCAAGGTGTTTGTAACCCGAGGGACCACTATATAACTTTGTTTGCCACAGCATTACCATATTTGGTATATTAAAAGTAGTTTATTCAGACAATAATTACAAATTGAATTTACTTGTTATTTTGTTGCAAGTAGAACCACAAAACAAGCCTTTGATCAATTTCAGATTCTTTCTGTTCCACTGTACTTTCTCCTACTGGAGGACAGAAAGTGACACACCAACCTTGCTAACAAAGGGAAGCCCACAAAGAAGGCACTGAATCTTCCTTCTGTGTTAATGGCAGTGCCTCCTAGAGGCCAAAATGCATCTTGCTCTTGTCCTCAGTGTACAAGAGACGCAATAATCTGATAGTGCAAATCAGTGGTTTTTAACCTGTTGCTCGCGACCCCTTTGGGGGTTGAAAAACCTTTTCACAGGGGTTGGCAAGCTTTTTTGGGGGTGGGCTCCTCTGACAGCCTCTGCCGCTCGCAAGGGCAGGCACAGGAGCCACGCTTAGCAGTCAAGGCATGTGTCAACACTGATGGCATTCACTTATACCCATAAGTATAGCCAACTGATGTCTGTTTTAGCCTAACATTTCCTCCTGTGCTACTTTTTTCTGCTTCCAGGGTTTCTTGCATCCGGGTCCCACGCTTAAATTAAAACAGCAAAATGGAAAGATTCTTTAGTTTGGCAAGTACTAGGAAAAAGCAAGAACTTGTTGAGGATGACAAAGAAGAAGTTGATGAAGAAAGGAGCCGCAAATACAGAAAACAAGATGACTGTTATTTGTATTTTGGTTTCATTAGTGTGAACAATGAAGAGCACCCACAGTGTGTTTTGTGTTTGAAAATACTCCCCATTGAATGCACGTTGCCTTGCAAAATGAAACACCACTTAGAAAGTGTTTATAAGAATGATGTGGGTAAACCAATGGATATCTCTAGAATATATATCTCTAGAAAACTAAGTCAGGTGAAAGAATCAGTATTTAATACACAGGTTACCGTCCTTTAGTAAAACTCTTTTAGCATCCTATAAATAACCTACCGGGTCGCAAAATGTAAGAAACCCATACAATAACAGAAGAACTCTTAATTGATATGGTGTCTACTATGTGGCGCTGTGGGTTAAACCACAGAGCCTAGGGCTTGCTGATCAGAAGGTTGGCAGTTTGAATCCCCGCGATGGGGTGAGCTCCCGTTGCTCGGTCCTTGCTCCTGCCAACCTAGCAGTTTGAAAGCACATCAAAGTGCAAGTAGATAAATAGGTACCACTCCAGCGGGAAGGTAAACGGCGTTTCTGTGCACTGCTCTGGTTTGCCAGAAGCACATGACCCGGAAGCTGTACGCCGGCTCCCTCGGCCAATATAGCGAGATGAGCGCCACAACCCCAGAGTCTGTCACGACTGGGCCTAATGGTCAGGGGTCCCTTTACCTTTACCTATGGTTGGAGTATCCTCTGACAATGCAATCGGCCACCAAATTCAAGATTTAGGAGAGGGACTTAATGAGCAGCTTTTAGAAAAAATGAGGAGGAAGGACTTTGGTTTGCAGTTTGATGTGTCCACTGATAGCAATAGAGATGCTCATCTAATCTGTTATGTGCGGTTTGATAATGATCTAAATGAAATGGTGGAAGATATTTTTTGGTAAGAACATAAATGTAGGAGTAACAGGCAAAGATTTGCTTGGCATTGTGGACAACTTCATGGCAGTAAATAAAATAGTCTGGGCTCATTGTGTCGGTGTGTGCACCGATGGTGCTCATTCTGTGGCAGGCTGTTACAATGACCTAAAAGCACTCATTCTCAGCTGAGCCCCTGATGCAGTTTATACACATCATAAGGAAGAACTTGCTTCTCCGCATTTGAGTGCTGATTTGAAACAAGTCCTGCAAACAGTGCTAGATGTGGTTAACTTCATCCAAACTCAACCTCAGAAAGCTAGATTTGTCAATAAAATGTGTTGAGATTTATCTGTTCTTGAACTTGCTCAGGAACTCCATTCTTACCTTGACCAAGAAAACCATGCCAGTGCTAAGTGTTTTCTTGATGTGGACTTCTTGCTATAAGTTGCCTATCTCTGTGATACTTTCAAAAAGCTGAACTTGTTCAATAAGTCTTCACAAGGGAGCGAAACTCATTTGCTTTGACTCACTTGTAAATTTTCGGCCTTTGAAAATAAACTTCTTTGGAAGAGAAAAACTGAAGGAGAAGGAATGGACTGCTTCCCAGTTCTACAGCAAGAGAGATACTATTTCACTAGTTACGGTAGTGGACATTTAGCTCATCTCAGTGCCCATTTTGATAAGTACTTTTTTGAAAATGGTGACAGGTTTCAGTGGATTCAAGATCCCTTTGGTACTGATTCTCCTCCATATTTAGTACAGTAGAAGAGGAGGAATTGATACAACTTTCATCAGACACTTCACTAAAAGCAAAGCTTATAGACACGCTAGTGCCAAAATTACGGACTTCAGTAAAACAGGAGTTTCCAACATTGAGTAACAAAGCACTGAAGATAATGATTAATTTTGCAACATCCCATCTATGTGAGTCTGGGTTTCCAGCCATGGCTGTCATAAAAAGCAAATACAGCTCAGGATTTGATATGGAGAAAGAAATGAGAGTAGCCGTAATTAAATTGGTGCCAATATTTGAAAAGCTGTGCAACAATAAGCAAACTCAGGTTTCTTGCTAATAAAAAAGACTGACATTTCATGTGCTTTATGTTTTTACTGAACTTTTTTTTTTTTACAAATGAAGACTAAATGGTTTATTGTATTATATCAGTGTTTCAAAATGCGCCTTTGTATCTTTTCCCCATTGGTATATTCAGATTTTCTTAAATGGTTTTTTTATTTAAATTTGTTTTCAGTTTTCCCCAGCTTTCAAAAATAATATTTAGCAGGACAATGAATGACTCGTGATTTTTTAAAAAGCTTTTTCAAAGCTCTACTGCCTAAATGTTAAGCCTTAAAAATGATAGTGAAAACCGCTAAATGATGAAACAACACAAGTTTTAACCAGGTACAGGGGAATCTCCACTTGCATACAATCTACATGTGCATTTCTGTGTGCACACATTCTGAAAAGGGGGAGTAGAATGGGGGAGTAGAATGAGGCTGAGACACAGTGGGGGAATATTTGATAGTTTTAGGCAAAAGGTTCAGTAACTATTTTAAATGATGCCATAAATAATGTAAGGGAGAGCTGCAAGAGATATTATTATGCTTCGCTCATTGGTGAGTTCGTTCCAAGACATTCTTTTTCCCTCTACTATACCATATTGATCTTTTCAAGGTAAACTAGTAACTAATAGTCAGTCCTAAGTGTTTGCCATTTTGGAAAAGATTACATCCAAGCACTGCCAGTTTAGCGCTAAACAAGAGTGGTGTAGATCTTGAAGATACAAAGTTGCAGTACTTGAACTTTAATTGAAAGCCTAAAGGAAGAAGATAAGACCTTATATTTATATGCAACAGTAGCAGCAAGGCTATGATTGCGAAAAACTGGAAAAGTGGTATAATACCAACAAAAACAGAGTGGCTTGCCAAATTATTGGAGTATTACAATATATCCAAAACAATGAATATGGAAAAACTACAAAAGTGGGGAATTACCAGACAAAAACAGAGGTGGCTGAAATAATGTGAAAAGATCAATTGGTTGACCACAAACTTGACATGAGCCAACAGTGTGACGCGGCAGCTAAAAAAGCCAATGCAATTCTGGGCCTCTGTATTCTGTAGTAATAGTGCCACTGTATTCTGCTCTGGTCAGACCTCACCTGGAGTACTGTGTCCAGTTCTGGGCACCACAGTTCAAGAAGGACACTGACAAACTGGAACGTGTCCAGAGGAGGGCAACCAAAATGGTCAAATGCCTGGAAACGATGCCTTATGAGGAACGGCTAAGGGAGCTGGGCATGTTTAGCCTGGAGAAGAGGAGGTTAAGGGGTGATATGATAGCCATGTTCAAATATATAAAAGGATGTCACATAGAGGAGGGAGAAAGGCTGTTTTCTCCTGCTCCAGAGAAGCGGACACGGAGCAATGGATCCAAATTACAAGAAAGAAGATTCCACCTAAACATTAGGAAGAACTTCCTGACAGTAAGAGCTGTTCGACAGTGGAATTTGCTGCCAAGGAGTGTGGTGGAGTCTCCTTCTTTGGAGGTCTTTAAGCAGAGGCTTGACAACCATATGTCAGGAGTGCTCTGATGGTGTTTCCTGCTTGGCAGGGGGTTGGACTCGATGGCCCTTGTGGTCTCTTCCAACTCTATGATTCTATGATTCTATGATATCCAAAACAATGGAAGAAATTGGAAGGATTTCAAAAGAAAAGATAGATAGGGACTGGAAGGTGTTTAAAAGATACTTGCAAAATCATATCGAAAAATCAGAACTCCTATTAGAATAAACAAGTTCCGTTTCAAATACTGAAATATCAAATAAGATGGATAACAATGTGTAATAGAAAAAGAAGTATGAAATTAGGCTAAAGGTGTGTGAAAGAAAGTAATAGAAGTGGAAAGAAATTGTAATTAAATAGATTGGATGTCAAACACAAAGGTGGGGTGAGGGGTGGTGGATGGTGATGGGGAAAGGAACTATTTGTGGGATTGAGTGTAAGTATGTTTGAACACTTTTAAGGATTGTATGAAATGTATGTTTGTATGCTTGTATATGTGTATTAATGATGAACTATTTTAACAATAAAAACTTATTAAAAAAAAGAACTTTAATTGAAAGCCAATTTATTAGTTTAATGTCACACATTTCCTCCCACTTGGCAGTGTCCAACAATATAAACTCCACATAAAGCCAACTTGAAATACAGCCAAAAATGCCTGGTTAAGAATGGTGTTGCTTCCTAAAGGCTAAAAGATAATGTGAATTACTGAATAAAGAACACCCCAAAGTCTTTTTTTGGGGGGAGAGTGTCACAGAAAAGTCACTGCACCTTATACATGCTGCCTTTGCTTAAGGGGGAAAGCCCCCTCCCTTGCTTTATCTAAGAAGCTGAGGAACTACAAATGCAATCAGGCATTGATATACAGCAGGGGTGGCCAATTCCCAAGAGACTGTGATTTACTCACAGAGTTAAAAACTGGCAGTGATCTACCCACTTTTGGGAGGTTCAGGTCGAAGTAGTTGAGCTTTTTTAAGGGAGGAGGAAAGCCCCATTTTTTGGGGTGCAGGGCAAAAATGTTGAGCTTTTTTAGAGGAGCCAATCTATCACAAACGTGTCAGGAGCTCAGCCTACATTCGATAGGACCCTGGCAGAGACACATGCCCGACTGGCATGTTCTCTCCCTCCTGGTCATTTGGGAGCTTCAAAAGCTTTCTTCTGCCTGAACATCACAGTGAATGATGCCAACAGACACCGGCACACTTAGGGATCTGCAGAGTTTGCGCAGTTGCGTAACAGACCTCAGCAACTCAGCATTTTGGCTAATCTACATTATTTACATATAAACACACACGGAGCACTGCAACATGGCTCCCTGTCTAGCATCAGACAGCAAAGAGGAAAAGAACAAAGGACAATAATCCCACTTCACGAAACACAGTAACACAAACATCCTGTCTCTGTCACTTCTCACTTTGTGGAGTCAAAACATACACCGTCATGTGATAGACAAAAATCCCATGACTGCAATCATGGAGCAGGAATTCTAACATCACGTCCAGTGATCTCCCAGTAGATCAGGTTCTACCTGTTGAACATGCCTGATATACAGCATTAAATTGCTTTGGTGCTGGAAAACATGGCTTGATCTCATGAGCTCCTTCTGCTACAAAGATATTGAAAGCGTTTGCTTCACTTAGCTACAGTGGGTCACTATCC